GGTTGGTTTGGGGGTTTAGGGGTTTAGGGGTTTAGGGGTTAGGGGTTTAGGGTTTAGGGTTTAGGGTGTTGGGGGCTCTTGAGGGTCTCGGGGGCTGCTTTTCAGAGTGTTTTAAATGGGTAGAACTATATTGGGGACCCAAAAAGGGACCCTAATTTGGAGAACTGCCCATATACCTTAAAGCAGCCTTCAATCTTATAGGGGGATCCCATTATAAGTTTAGGGGATATTCCTTAATTGAGATGTTTAGGGCCTCAGGGTTTTTAGGGACTTAGGGCTTCAGGGACGTTGGGCTTTAGGTGCTTTAGGGCTTAGGCTTTAAGGGTTTAGGCCGGGTGGCTTATAATTACGGCCAATGCGAAGCTCTGATTCATGATCCTCCTGTCTTACGGGCCCAGATATTGGGATGCCCATCCTAGTCCTATAATTCGTTCGTGCGTTTTCTGGGTGCTTTTTGCCGCACGTGGAGCGGAAAGACAGCACACATCCAGTCTTCGTTACCTAGGTTTCGCCCTCATTGCGACAGATCTTGAACATTCCTTAATAGTGAACAGTTAGAAATGGTGTTGGTTTGGGGAATACTCAACGATATTTTAAATCAGGTAACCCCCAAACAGCTTTTACATTTCTGGGTTACCTTATAATAGTGTCCTGAACATATACTTGGCAAAACCAAAAGAAGGAACCACAAGGTAGACTCTGGATAAACCACCTCTGAATCCAGGCTGAACCACTCTCAACAAAAAAACCACGAATATCACCCTAAACCCTAAACCCTAAACCCAAACTCGCAACTCGGATCCTAAGCCACAGCTACTCTGCCACTCTTCCTTCTGAGCTCCTGGCCAAAAGCTAACAGGACCGAGGTGAGGCTCACCTGCGCAGACCGGCTTTAGCAGGTTTCCGGCCCCTGACCTTTCGAATTTTGAGTCGAGACGCTGTTGACATGAGCCCTTCCGGTTCCGGGTTTAGGGTTTAGGGTTTAGGGTTTAGGGTTTTGGAGGGCATAGTTAGGGTCTGAGGTTTAGAGGCTTTGGGGTTTTGGGGCACTGAAAAATGGAATTCGCCTTGAGGGTTAGGAGCCTCAGCTTTCGGGCGGTGGCTGAGGCGGCAGGACGTCAATGCTGGCTAATATGTATACATACATATATATATATATATATATTATGTATGTATGTATGTATGTATATATATATATATATAGGTAGGAGTTTCCGAAAATTAGGGTTACCTTATTTTGAGGTCCTTATAGTAAGGATCCTTTTATTTAGGGTGCTATACTAGGGTCCCCTATGTTCGAACCCCCCCCCCCCCCATAGAGAAGCCTCAGTAATTGCCAACATTATCCTTAGGGCTCCGGTTATTATATTTCAAATATTTCATGTACACGCAAGACATGATTGTAATCATCAGGCCCCTACATTAGAATTCGGGTGGCCTGTGTCGACGATTGAGGTTCAAGGGATCGTTGGTTTCGAGACTCTCTCCGGGTTGGTGCTTAGAGATGGGCACAGCTGCGGAGAGCCAGGGCTCTTTTGGTAACAACATGTCTGTTGAATGCCTCCTCTTCATGACTGTGAATCCAAACCTGCTGCAAAACCTTTGCAAGCCAGAACCGCAAATCCACATTTGCCCACCAGACTGATGAAACCCTAAACCCTA